TTTTTCAGGTTTCAATGCTTGAGATATATAATGAAACGATTAGTGACTTACTAGCACCAAATAGAACATGCTCGATGCCTCACGAGCAGAAAATGCTGGAAAGCAATATGCAATCAAACACGATGCCAATGGAAACACTCATGTTTCTGATCTAACTATTGTGGATGTTCAAAGTAGCAAGGAGGTTTCTTATCTCTTGGAAAGAGCAGCACAGAGCAGGTAGCTGGAATTACTTGAATTTTTTCAACCCTGTTACTTATTGTTGTATCACTCTTAATACCTTACAACTTTTAGAATCATTTTGAGAGGTCAATCTTCCAAATTCACTGATCCAAGACATTGATGTTTTGATTTTTATGAAAGTTAAGATCTGTAGGCAAGACTCAAATGAACGAACAGTCTTCAAGGAGTCACTTTGTCTTCACATTGTGAATAATGGGTTTTAACGAGGTATACCTAGTGTTTCTCGACTCAAACTTATTATTTTTTCTTTAATTACAGCCGCAACTTACAAAATACTATTTGCTTTTGTTGTGTTACTAGAACACCGACCAACAAGTGCAAGGTGTCCTTAACCTGATTGACCTTGCTGGTAGTGAGCGTTTGTCGAAGAGCGGATCTACAGGGGATTAATAATTCATCGAAAAGAATTGTTCTCTTTTAGAAGAATATGTTTGTTTACATTAGAAGGATCTTGCTTTCTCTCTCACTTGCTAATCTTTTGAATGCACTTTACCTAGGCCATCAATAAGAGTTTATCATCATTAAGCGACGTTATATTTGCTTTGGCCATGAAGGAAGAACATGTGCCTTACAGAAACTCCAAGCTAACCTATTTTCTCCAGGTATAGTTATTTAACTGAGGGAAATACTTGAGTTTTAGAGTATTTCGTGGCTTTTACACCTTAATAGAGTAATTATGAAAAGCTTCTTCTTCATGACTATAGCTTGGAGAAGCAGAACTTTTCTCTTTCTTCTCTTGAGTTAGGTTGATGAAGTTAAAGAACTTCGCGTCTGACATTTCTAGCTATTTTTTCTCTAATTTGAATGTCAGCTAATATGAAGTAAAAATTTCATTTTCATATCTGAGTCAATCATCAGACCTTAACTAGCTGAAACTGGAATTTTTGCATGTCTGAGTCGGACCATGGCTTTAGCTATTAGTTTCTTTGATCCGTGCACTGAAAAGTTTTTAAAACTGAACTCTTTTCTGTTGTCTTCCCAGCCTTGCTTAGGTGGAGACTCAAAGACTTTGATGTTCGTTAATGTTTCTCCGGATCCTTCATCAGGATCCTTCATCAGAGGGTGAATCACTTTGTTCACTTCGGTTTGCAGCTCGTGTGAATGCTTGTGAAATTGGGGTCCCAAGACGCCAAACGAACCTAAGATCAAAATCAGATTCTCGTTTGAGCATTGGTTGATTTTTTTATTTTTTTTATTTTTTTTCTTTCTTAATGGAACAATAGTTATCTAGATTTAGAAATGTGGCGAATGTATCAAGGCATTTATTTGTAACCGATTTACATATGGCGCTTCTAACTGGTTTTCCATTTGTTTCTTTTTCTTTTGGGTAAAGATATATTGTCATGTGTATTGGTTTTCCACAGGCTTTCCAACTCTTGTTACTTGCAAAGATTGAGTATTGTGATGATTAAATCAACTTGAAAGTGAAAGTGGAACTATTTATTGTTTCTGTTTGCCATTGCAGAAAGGGAACCCTTCTGAAACATCTAGGGAATGTGAGATGTACGTTCTTTGGTATTGTTAGTTGTTAGTGAAAAAAAAAAAACTAATTTCATCCGTTTTGAAATAGCTTTGCGCTGCATATTTAGCAAAAAGAAACCTCATATGTGACTAAAAGATTTACCAACATCATGAGATTGATTTTTATATTTTTTCTGCTATCATCTGCATCAACATTATAATTTTGGATGAATAGAACTGCCGAAGGACTTCAAGTTTTGTCCATGTTGATTTGGTGAAGTTACTGGCTTTAACAGAACCTGCCTCAACCTCGAATCTCTTTCAGTCGGCGATATTCAGCAACCTGAAAACCTTCAGGGACTGTTTGGTATTTGTCTGGTTCTCTAAGTGTCTCAATGTTGGTACCAGGAGGATGTCGTTAAGCCTTTACTTGAAGTCACAAAAAGTGCTCTACTCCATGACTGCACTGTTTTGTGGTTGGAGATATATTTCCTCTATGCCGTGGTTATCTCATACATTATCCGAGCACTTTTTAGCTTTGGTTTCCCTGCTACACAATACGTGCATGGCAGAATGCCACTTGGCAATGTTACTTCAAGGATAATATCTTTTCTTGATTTTTACATTGGGAGTTATAGAAAATATGAGCAATTGAGAAATGGATTCTTTAGTTCTTACACTTGAGCTCTGGGGAATGACGTACTCAGAAAATTTTCTTTTATTTTAAGCATAGCAACTCTGTTATAATGATAAGATTTGACAACTCGTCTTCATCGCTTTCTTTTTCCAAAACTATATTACCATTTGTGGATTTTACTTCTATTCAGGCCGATTCTATAAATTTCTACACTCACTCTTTCTCCAAATTAGTTGTGTGAATTTTATTAAGTTCTTTCATGTTATGATTTTTTTAGGCATCATAGGAAGTACACTTCACAATGCCTTGTAAAATATGAAGTGGTTTTGTGAGAATATTTTGAACCGATTCATTTTTCATTAATTCGCCTAAGTTCTTCTGGATGCATGGCAGGTAGAGTGCTTGTATTATCCATTTCAAGTTCCATTCAAATGTGCATTTCCTAACACTGTCTCAACAGGGTGAAAACATGATTGATGAGTCAGTTGCTGGACTTGAGCCCGTAAGTTCAGAAATGATGACAGAAAGGAAATTCCAGAGGGGACCAAAAAGCAAAAGAAAGAGACAAAAGTAACCGTAAAATTTAGCCATCGTACTTGTTTGTGAATCTGTATACTTGCGAGTTGCGATACCTTTCTTCATGGCAGTGGTCATTAGTCATGACAATGAGAATTTGGAGTTTGAGTTAATTCATATTCGTTCTTGATTAGTGGAAAGGCGAAATTTCAACCAGAGCTTTCAAATCAAGGATGCAAAATATATTAATTATTTCTTTCTTTTGTTTCTTTTTTTTTTTTGGAAATATGAAACAAACAAATTAACTGTGATATATTCAAGAACTCGGAAGTGCGCAGGAGTTCCAAAATTTAGAGCCTGTCGCTATCATCGTTCTTATCCCTAAACTTTTGTGCAGAACTTGACATGTGTGTACTGCTCTCCCTCCTTTACAGGTAAAAAATTGAAATGTTATGTGTATCATTGAGTATATTTTCTAAGATGCTCTTATGTGGCAGCTCTTTATGAATCTATCAGAGTAGTCAACATATTTGGTCCACAAAGGCCGAAGCTGTGAGAATGCTATGTCGAGCCAAGGCTTTGCTCGGCCATTGAAATGGATGACACCAGCATTTTCAGCATCTGCAATAGTTGTGTTATCTTGGTACTCTAGCCCAAGCATGTGCCAGAAGGGACTAATGACATGTACATGACCATGGAATGCTATAAGCCCAGGAGGTTTCACAGTCACTATTCCTAATTTCACAACGTCAACAGTCATAAAAGTTTTGTAATCCGTCAAATTCGCTATACATCATGTCATTCCAAATTCACCACAAACATTTTAATTTCAATACTTATATTCTTGTGAAAATATATCTATATATGTAATTGTTGGCATGCTTTAATAAATTTTATTCAGTCAGTAATTAAAATAATATGGGTTCATTTATTAAATATATGTTCACCATTTAATATTAATATGTAACTTTCAATTACAAAATTATTTTTGACATATCCAATTTTGGTGGTGCCCATTTATGTAATACTTTTTATCATGAAATACAAAATATTTTTGTTTTTAATTTGATACTATATATTTTTTGGTATTATATAAATATATATTTCACAATAAATTAAGAATGACTACAAACATCTCTATTTTCTAATTTCTATTGCAATTATACAATAGTAAAAAAAACATTTTTTTTTTTCAAAAATTACATAGATAAGTCAATTATTTTGAAAAATCAAATCCCAAAATGACGAGTCGAAAAGGTTTTATGATAATGATTTGTTGTGATGGGGATTTTGACGATAGGAAAACCACGAATGTTATTTATATAGAATTGTTTAATAGTGTTTAGGTTCACTTTTGTAATTTTTTTCTCGTTTGTTAGTTATAATTTTTATTTTATTTATATCTTTAATTACTTTCTCTTCTATTATACTTTTCGTACAAATGCACATGGTAAAACTAGTCTATAATAACATTAGTAATAATTTAACATGAAGTAATTGGTATATATAAATTAATTATTATGTATTGTTTCATCTATGGAGAATTTTGTCTTTCCCTTGTCACAATAATTATTAATGGATCAATTATAGCTGATAAGTTAGTTTATAATAACCTGATAAGTTAGTTTATAATAACTTAGAAGTAATTTTTTAGCTTATAGCTTGTGACTTACAACTAAAAAAAATTAGCTTATATGATAAAAGTGTTTGAATACATAAAGTTTATAAGTTAACCAAATAAGTTACAAGGTAGATTATTTGGTTAGCAAAGCATTCACCACAAATTAATTATTTGAGCCACAAACTATTTTCTATTTCACATGCTATTTCACACACCAAACCAATTTTATTTCACATACAAAACCATAATTTCACCACTACATGAACCAGTCAAACATCCCTTATTAACTTCTGCAATTAATCCCAAACAAGAAAGTTCAAACTTTAACCCACACACACATAAGCACAAAAACATCCAAAGCCAGAAAAACACAACCATACAACAATTTGGCACTACTCAAACCCATACTTCTTCTTCAACATCAGCACAAACTCGTAAACCTCCTTAGGATCGGCCAATGATTTCGATACACTCTCCTTCATCATGCACCTTTCGCCCCATTCAATCAGCTTGGGGAAATGTTCTTTAATGCTGAAATCACCACACGTTTCGTATGTGTAAAACCAGCAGTAGAAGCTAATGAAGGCCACATCAACAAACCCGAATGTTTCACCTCCAAAGTAAGGCTTCTCCCCGAGCTCCCTTTCCAAAAGCTCGAGAGCATTAATGAAGTCTTTCTTGCCGGCTTCTTGTTCTACTCCTTTTCTAGTCCATATTTTTCTCCCAGCGTCAAATATCTTGGTTTTTGCAAAGTTATTATGCAGAATAAAGGATTAATTCCAAATAAATGAAAAGGTAAAGAGAAACTACCTAAGTGAAAATCAATTATTAATACCAACTAAAGTGATGAATGATGCGAAAGATTTGCGTATGTATTGTTCAATTTCCTTGGTAGAACATATTTCAACAGGGGTGTTTCTAGTTTTGTAGACATGTAGTTACCCTTCAAATTTTAAACACACTTTTTTCACATATAGATAAGAGTTTGAAGTTGCCACCAAAATTTAAATTTAAAGGACGGGAAAAGTGCAACATCGTGCATTATAATAACACCTAAACAAAAATTAACAATTATTTGACCATCCAAATTAACTGAAGATGGTGGCACGTTTTCACTGTCCTAAAAACTTTCATGTAATGAATTTGAGGGTGCTTCGCAAACCATGTTCAGAGTACTTGGAAGAGCTTTATATTATTTTTTGTTTCTTGTTCTCTCAACTTCAAACTCGAAAAGGGTCATTTTTACAAAGTAATGGGCCTTCTACTAAGTTCGTTTGACTAGTGTGAGACAACAAAGGCTTCTTACTTTCAACTTTCAAACATAACACTTGATTTAAGCAATAATATATATCCTCCTACAAAAAAAAATAAAAAATAAAATAGTAAATTCATAATTCCAATCAATAATATTTTTTTTCATAAAAAAAAAAAAAGAGATGCACCCCTTATCCGTCTCAATTTCACACGAGCCCTCCGCTTGTTCAATTTCACTATCCACATTCATACTCAAGAATCAACAAAAAACATAGAAATGTCATTCTTTCCAAACAGGAAGAAGGAAAAAAAAAAAAAAGAGTACTTACATGAAATTTCACTGGAAAAGTATGTGGTGTCACAAGGTAATATTTAGGCACACTAGCATTTCTAATTGACTGTTACCAGTTAGGGCTACTAAATGTTATTTCTCTCAATCAAAACTGAAATAACATTACTGAAACAAGCACCTCAACCAATAACATTACTCTAGCTCAACTTCCTTACCCAAGACTGAAATAAAACAAGACATAAACCACAATAAAATAAAAGTAAAAAAAGAACATATTTTTTCCCAAACAAAATCAGCCCAAAACGTAGTTAACTATGACTAATTAGGGTCGTCCAGCCCGCAAAAAAAAAATAAAATAAAATAAAATAAAATATTAATCCATAGAATCCCAGTTAAAATCCAAATTAACCCTTCAAAAAGCTCCTCAACATAGTTTATCTATGTAATGTTTTTGTATAACAATTTTATATATATAATTATATATTATTAAATATTAATAATTTAATTATACTTTTATTTTAAAATGATTTCTTGTAAATATTAATATTGAATTAAATAATAATATTGACATCTATTATATATATATTGTTAGTAAAAATATAATCTTGATATCTATATTTATTCTAAAAATTAAATAATTTGACATAAATAATGTTGTATTTAACTGTATTTATTCAAATAAATAAATATATGTTAGATGATATATTTCATTAAATAATATTTTTAGTATTAAAATTAATTAAAAATAAAGAGAATAAAATGTAAATATTCATACCGAGTAAAATGTAGAGCGGTTGGAGAAGAACTTTGACGGTTGGTTAACTCTAGATTAAATTCTACACTAGAGTAGAGACTTATAGCCTATCTAGTGAACTCAGTAAGCTTCTTGTATTGAAAAAGATTAGTTTGGTAGAATGAGTTGAAAAGACTCGAACTTATCGCATAAGCTTGTTTACGTAATCTTTCAAAAAGTCCACTGAAAAATTTTATTTCGACTTACTTGTCGGCTAATTTTACCGAACAATTTTACCAAAACAATATAGACTACCAGCTATAAGCTCGTTATTAACCTACGAGTTATGTGTTTAACTTATAAGTCATGTAAATTTCCCAAACATACCCAAATTTACTTGGTACAACTATGACAGATTAAGCTCCTCAACCAAGAAATTCAAATCCAACTCCTTCAGCCACAACCGAACAATAATTCAGGAAAAAGACAGCACTAAACTAAAAAATAAAATAAAGAAATAAAAATTGTACCTTTTTGTTAACAAAATCAGCCCAAAACCTAGCTTGAGCCCTCTGGTACGGGTCGGACGGCAACAATGGCGACCTGTCCTTCCACACTTCGTCGATGTACTCAACAATGACGAGCGACTCGCAGACCGGCTTGCCGTTGTGGAGCAGGACCGGGATCTTCTTGTAAACCGGGTTCGACTCGAGCAGAAGCCGGCTTTTGTCCGCGAGGTTCTCTTCTCTGTACTCGTACTCAATGCCCTTCTCGGCTAGGGCGACTCGAACCCTCATGCCAAACATGCTCACATTGACATCAAGAAGGATTAACTCGTCGGCCATTGTGGGAATTTTCTCACCTCAAAAAGCTTCTGGTATATATATATACTAGATTGGACCCGGCTGTGCACGCACAGCCGGCCCTAGTCCAGTCTATAATTATATCTAGTATTTGTAAAATTTTTAAAACACACTTACCCACATTTTATTGAGCAACCAAAATGCCACATATTTTTTTGTTTGTTTAAAATGTTTCTCACAAATATGTCCTTCCTATTTTCTTCCTAAGGCCGACACGTGTTCTTTTTTCTTGGCAGTTGGAGAAGTGATTTTTTTTACAAAGAAAATAGGAAGGACATATTTGTCCAAAAAGGACACATGCCGGTCCTTGTTCAGTTTATAATTATATCTAGTATTTGCAAAATTTTTAAAACAAACTTATCCACATTTTATGGAGCAACCAAAATGCCACTATTTATTTTCAATTAAATTTTCCACATATTTTTTACAACAAAATATTTATATTTATTACATTAGCATATCTATCGCATCAACTTTAATTATTATTTTTTTGTTTGTTCAAAATATTTTTCACAAATATTTTTTTTTTCAACAATTTTTTTACCACTCTTTTGACTCATTTGTTTGTAGCATTCAAACAAATTTCTCAAAATAATTTATATTTTAAACCATTCTCATTCCTCAGTTTATTTCAGGGACGACCAGTGCCGAGTGAAGGTGGCATCAGTCAAATCAATCCTTTTTTTTTTTCTTCAGCAACTCTTTGTTTCTCCACTTTGGATTTGTTCTATGCAATTTCAATTCTAGAGTTCCCTGATGCACATTCGACTTCACATACTCATCATCAAGCAATTCATGTCATATGTAGCTCATTAAAATAAAACAATACGCTGGCCATTGAAATTTCAACCGAAATATTAAACTTTCAAAAGAACAGTCACATGACATATACAACAAATGCTTAATCTTCAATGAAGCAAGTACCTTGGCAGAAGCAGATGATATTGATGCAGTGCCATTAGTTTATTATTGGGTAAAGATTCAAGCAGTTTGAAACTTTTCCAACAGCCAATCCTGATTCATACAAAAGGATCTGCTTATGGAGTTCTTTGAAAAACTTTTGTCATCCTCGTGGATCATCTTGTTTGTGGAGCACTTTTTTCAAGAAAATAAATCCACATAACCTAATTCTCTGATCATTCAAAAATTTATGGGAGTTTTAATTTGTAAAAAAAAAAAAAAAAAAATCAGCCACCAACTCACAAAGATAGTTGCGAGCTTTGCGCCATCACTTGTGCCACAAGATTTCCAACAATTCTGAGATTATAGCTCAATGTCCTTTCTACTTATGAAGACAGCATCAAGATCCCCATCTAGGTAGACTATGCCTTCAAAGGACTCATCAAAATTGCATTCACTACATAATGGAAATAACAAAAAACTCACTTTACTTTCTTTAACCTAAATACAGACACATACAGTATCTTTAAAGATTTAAAATAACATAAATGAGTAATATATGCAACTTCTTGTATAACAGTGCAGTTTTTGTTTCACCTAAAAAAAACCATGAAAAATGGGGAAAAAAATGAAATACAAAATGAAAAGAAAACCAAATGGGCAACCAATGACATTTCACACAACTATAGCATTGTATTCTCTAATTTTTACAAATCTTCTAAAAATACCATCACCATGGACAGAAAAAAACAGGAGAAATAATAGAATCATCGAATTTAGCACTTCGCGCTCTCTAGCGTATGCTCGAGCACCGCCGCCTACTCCTTGGAGGCCAGAAGGCCACAATTAGCCGTGAAAATAGCCACGCATATATGCCCTTTACATTTATCATTTAAACACATGCATTTTCGCACGGTGACTGGGTTTCTGGATAATCCAACCTTCATTCGATATTTCTTTTCGGATCAGAAACCTTTTGTAAGGGCGAAAACTCGTCCGGCCAATGGAGGAGGCAATGCAGAAACAACATTTTCAATTACCTGAAAAAAAAAAAATAAGGTACACGTAAGCCATGATTACAAGCATAGTATAAATGAGAATCACAAGGCCACAAAGTAATTATCAAGTCCCTACAAATTCATTACTTATCTCGTACATTATAAGCTGATCGACATCATTCAAGAAGAATAAAAAAAAAAGTTACGTACGTCTAATTGATAGCGGGCTGAAAAATGGATTAGGATAATTGCTTTGTTCTGGAACTTATCAGCATAACCGATAATCTGGGTGGTGCAATAAACCACACCACAGAATGTGAGCAACAATTTACTATCAAAGATATATAGCAGAATATTAGCAAACAAGAAATAAAGGGGTAACATTAACCTCAGACAAATGAGTATGTCCATACTCCCTTGCACCCTCCACTTTGCTTGAACTCTCAACAAAGGTACTCTACACGCGAAAATTATCGACTTTTGGAGAGATATGAAATAAAAAGCATGTTGATGTGTTAAACATTATGATCAAGAAATAAATATTCAGTAACAGATCCTGTTTACAAAGGAAACGGATTAAGCGCTCAACGCCTGCCAATTTACCCAAGCTACCGTATAATCTTTATCCATACACACAACAACAATATTATTAAATGCTGAAATTTTTTTGCCAAGTTATATACCATTCAATATGCATCTATAAATTTCAAGACCGTGTTTTTTGAAATACTATTTCTAATAATCAGTACCTCTATGATGAGAATCTTGGCCCTCAATGCATCAACATTATCCAGATCAATAATGAAGTCCGACATAGTGTCTCCCGTAAATGCAATTTCAGGGGATGTGTATGTATCTGTAATATAACAAACATAGAAGAAAAATAAAAGAAAAAAAATTACAACCACATAAAAACTGATTTCTTCACGGAATCACACAATCAAAACACACGGAACATTGAGATGTACCTCCACACCCGAGAGTCTCAGGCTTTTTATCTCAGCTCCAGGTAGCCCGAAATTCTCCTGCTTCAGTTTTTGTCTCACTGAATAAATTATATATCCCTGTGCAAACACAAAACCAGTCCTAATCAGTAATCACCATCGGCTTCCAAAAAAGGTTACAAACCAAAACATACAAAAAACTGTCTAAAGAGTCTAGATGACAACCTGGCTTGGAACAACGTGATATGTCTTGAATGCCCTCACTCTAAGGTCTTTCTTCAAATCAAACTCTTCACCTACAAAATCACACCTAATCAGAGGCTCTCACAAAATGGGTTTTGCAACCAATCAGTAAAAAATGCAACACAAACACAAAGGTGTTTTTCCACTCACCCACATCCAAACCCACGAGAGTATGCTTAAGCTGATGATCCATAGCTCTGTGAGCTTCGAAAATCTTTTCCACGCTTCCCTTCACTGCTTTCGGCACAAAAATCGTTGGGGGCGCCATATTGTACAAGTCCCGTGTAGCAACATACATGGGCAATCCTCCCTGAGAGAGACCAAAAGAATAAAGAAAAAAAAAAATTAAGCACACACAAAAATATATAAAAAGCTACTGCTACCATAGATCGCGCTTCGACTTCAAAAGACAAACATGGGAAATCCTTCCTGAGAGAGAAACAAGAACATTGAAGCACACTCACAAGCATATAAAAAGCTACTACTACCAAATGAAGCTTCGATTTCAAAAGGGGCGAGGTGAAATTGTGAGTTCAAAAGACATACATGGGCAATCCTACTTGAGAGGGTCAACAAAATTGAAGCACACACACAAGCATATAAAAGCTATTGCTACCAAATCAAGCTTCGATTTCAAAAGGGGCAAGGTTAAAATGTGAGTTCAAGAAACATACATGGGCAATCCTACATGAGAGAGGCAAGGAAATTGAAGCACACTCACAAGCATATAAAAAGCTACTGCTACCAAATCAAGCTTCGAGCTAAAAAGGGGCGAGGTGAGAATGTGGCTTACGATGTGGTCCATGTGGCCGTGGGAGATGAAGAGGAACTGCTGGGAGACAACACGTTGAGAGCACTTGCCGATGTCGAAGGTGAGATTGAGAGAGGGGACAATCACGCAGGTCTCGTGCCCGGCGATTGACAGGCCTTCGATTTGGTAGCCTTCGATTGTAAGCTCCGAAGATCTCTTTTTTTTCTTCTTGTTGAGATGGTTCTCCGGTATTGAATTAAAGGGTTGGGGGATTTGGTCACAGAACGCCATTGATTCTTCCATTCTTCTTCTTCTTCTTAGAGGTTTTAGGGCAGGGTATTAGAGATAGGGAGTCCTTTAAATAAAGGACCTAAAAACAGAACCGAACACCATCATTCACAACAACGAAGAAGAGCCATGCTTATCACAATAACAGGACCCTGCTTACTTCAAAGTAGTACCAAAACTCGAAACCCAAAAAACTAA